GTTGTTTACTTTACCTAGAAGCCTTGTTCTTACACAGATAAAATAAATATTTAGTAGGTTTCTCATCTATTTCACTCCTAAGGACACCCTGCATAAGTAGCCAATGTCATAAGTTCACATGAGTCAGACTATTCTGATTACTACTGTGATTCTGCTGTACATTATGATAACTACTCACACCTTGTCTTTGTCAATTTAGTGCTGTCACTTGGGCCTACCACTGTGAGCTCCAATCAGCTCCATTGTAGAATGTGTCTTAATTCAGTTAGGGCAGTTCTACTGGTAAATACCTTAAGGTCAGCGGTTCGAAACTACCAGCCGCTCCGCGGGAGAAAGATGAGGCTTTCTACTCCCGTAAAGATTTACACCCTCGGAAACCCTGTACAGGGTCGCTATGGTTCGGAACTGACTCGACAACAACAACAACAACAACTGTTAAATATAAGGAGCTCTGGTAGTGTACTGGTTACATGTAGGGCTGCTAATTTCACGGTCAGCAGTTCGAAACTACCAGTGTTTCCATGCAAGAGAGATGAGGCTTTCTGCTCCTGTAGAGATTTACAGCCTTGCAGACCCTATACAGGTTCGCTATGAGTCAGAACGGACTCTACGGCACACTACCACCACCACTGTTAAATATGGTTTACATATAATAGCAACGGCAGTAGTCTTCAGGGAAGCTGGGCTCCCTTCACAAATTTGTTCTTCATGGCTGTGGTAAAAGTTGTGTCCTCTGGGCACTCCAAGTGTGGGTGTATGGGTCTATCTTTATAAATCTGCTCTACTATGCCAAGTTCCCCAAATCTTTGGATTCCTTCTTTTATAGAATAACAAGGCATGTCTGACATTTCAACTTGATGAATTGAAGACCACTGCACATATCCATGCTTAAGTGCATGTGAGTTATGGTGTTGGAGGAGAATATTAACAGTACCATGGACTGCCAAAAGAACAAACAGATATTTGTTGGAAGAAGTACAACCAGAATGCTCCTTAGAAGCCAAGCTGGCCAAACTTTGTCTCATACTTTGGACATATTATGAGGAGGAGATATGTAGAAGCAGATCTTATTTAGTAAAGTAGAGGGTCAGAGGAAAACAGGAAGACCCCCAACAAGATGGATTGGCACAGTAGTGGCAGTGATGGGCTCAGGCATAGCAGTGTTTGTGAGGTTGACACAGGACCAGGCAATGTTTCGTTCTATTGTGCACAGGTTACTATGAGTCGGTACCGATTCGATGGCACCTAACAACAGTCTTCAAGTTCACTGACTGTGTTTTATCATCTGTGTTCTTGTTATTGAGTACAACCAGTGATATTTCAAAAATGTGTTATTGTATTTTTCAGTTCTAACATGTCTATTTGATTCATTTATATGATTTCTACTTCTACTTTCTATACATTTCAATAGTTTTCCCTTTATCAAGCATAATTATTATAATAAATGATTTAAAATCTTTCTCGGATATTTCTAACATTGAGTTATATTGGTATATGTTGTCTTTTCTCTTGGGAGTTGTTGGGATTTTCCTGTGTTTGTATATCAAGTAATTTGAGGCTGTATTCTGCACACTTTTATTATTATTTTTTTCAGCATTTGGAGCATGTTACAATTCTCTGAACAAAGTGGGTTTTTGTTTGTTTGTTTGTTTTAGTTGGTCACCATCCAGGTTAAATTCAGACCACTAGTTGTGACCTACGTTCTAGAGATCTGGTTATGGTTTCAATATCAAATAAACTTTCAACATGATATTCAGGTGCATCTTGCCTATAGGACATGGAGAGCCATCCATACAATAACTCAATTTTCAAAACTTCTTTCTAGATGTTTGGATCTGTTCTAAACTCAATGCTTCACCTCAGTGTTGAGCCCAGGACTTCATTCATATATATATGGTTGCTGTTGTTAAGTGCTGTTGAGTTGGTTCCAATTCATAGTCACCCTGGACAGTGTTTCTGGGTAGCAGTTGGTGGGTTTGAACTGCTGATCTTGAAGTTAGTAGTCCAGTGCTTATCATACAGCACCACACCAGTACTCCTTCACATATTTAGGGCATTGATTTCTTCAGCTACTCCCCATGCCTTCTTGCACACTGACAATCAACCATGGGTCCCTTTTCCTGGTGCTCACAGTCACCAGAACAGACTACTTGTCTGCAACCCTTCTAGCAGCAACCTTCTGTCACCGCCATTAGCTCTGCCACTGGGCCCTTCTAGCCTCTGACCTACTTGGGCAAGAGTTACAACTCTTTGTTGTTGTTGTTAAATGCCATCTGACTCATAACAACCCTGCATAGGGTTTCCAAGGAGCAGCTGGTGAGTTAGAATTGCCAACTTTGTGGTCGAGTGCTTATCCTACAGCGTCACACCAGGATAACTCTTTAATACTGCCAAAAAGCCTCTTGCCCCAAGGCACTCAACTCTCTCTCTCTCTCTCTCCATGGGCCAGCAAGCCTACTATAGCCATCTCTCTCCATGGGCTGTGCTGTACTGTTGGGTATTGGTCTCCTGGTTTCTGCCACTCATACTGCTGCTGCTATTTCTCTGCAGTTGGCCCTGATGTCCTTGCTACCATTTCTCACTGTTTTGTGTTGTCTTCAATGTTACAGTTCTCTCTTCTGGGTCTAGGAGATTTTCAGCAAAAGATGTGCTCTATTTCCAAACTTCTGTGAAACTTATTAACCCTAGCAAGATGGCAAAACCAATGAATCCTTGAAGTGGACCTGAAGGGACTCAATCTCATTAGATGAATTTTCAAACTTCTATTTGCATAGAGTCCTGGGCTAGTTGTTGCGTTGTTACCCAAAAGATTGACTAACCAACTTTTTGTAAGACTGTGTAAGATAGACCAATGACAGGAGGACTAAGGCCTAACCAATAATTTTTGGTAGAATTGTAAGCCCAACGCCAAAGACGCCTTATATAAAGAGAAACCCATTGCACTGCAGTTTATTTTGAAGATTTTGTTGCCTGATTCCAACATATAGTTCTAGAATTTGGGTTGTCATTGAGTGTAACCTAGGAGATGTTGGAAGATAAAACACCAGGAAACTCACAAGGGTTAAAAATACATTAAGCCAAAGGGGGGGAGGGAATATATTAAGCCAGTAGTAGAAATTAAAGTTTATTTAATATATGATTTGTAAATTTGATTAACATTTTGACTTGTTTGTTGTTGCTAAGTGCCATTGAGTTGCTGCCAACTCACAGAAACCCTGTATAGAGTTTCTGAGGAGTAGCAGGCGGGTTGGAACCGCTGACCTTACATCTCAAACCAACCTTGTGGTTGAGTGCTTATCCTGTAGTGTCATACCTGTACTCCGTTGTTTGTTGTTAATTGCCATGAAGTCAGTTTCAATGTATAACAACCCTGCATAGGGTTTCTGAGGAGTGATTAGTGGACTTGACCCACCACCTTGTGGTTCAAATCAACCTTGCAATCCAGTGCTTATCCTACAGTACTAGAGAGTCAAACACGTTCCAAAGATGGAAGAACTTCTAAGTACTCTTATATTCAATGTTATTGACATTGCCATGCAAAAAAGGGCCAGAACAGAACTGATAAATTTGTGATCAGGAAGGATTTTGAACAACAATGAAAATAATTATTAATTTACTGAGACATAGATCCTAGTCAAATTTCTCAAACTTTCTTCTACTCTGCTTCCTGAAACTGACTGAATTCTTCAAAAGAACACAGTGCCTAAGGCAAAATGACCTTACTACTTTATCTGGAAGATTTTTTGACTCAAAGGTGACCCCCAAAGGAGCCAGTTTCTCCAAGGTTCAAGATTCAAAAGGGCACTCAATGGCCAATGGCTTGGGTGGGTCATCCCAACTCCATGGTCCCAGAAATCTGGATTCCAAGAAAATTTAAACAGTTTCTCTTTAGTGACCATTTTCCTAGTTTTGACCCTCACCAGCATTTACCAGCTATTATTTGCATTACACAGACCATGGCTAGGTGTTTTAGGAATTCTACCCAGAATTTTAGTTGTAACAAGTGACAGAGATACAGTAGAGTATACTTATGTAATTGTAGTTGAAATTGGAAGGATCTTTTGTTTAGGATTCTGAAGAATCTCGGAAAAAAGCAGAGTGCAGGGGAGATGGCTTTGAAGGCAGAGTGTGCTTGAGTCTTATTTTATCTACTGTTAACTCTTTGACTCCTAATTTCCTGACTATAAAATGATGATAATATTTGTTCAATGAGTACTTACTGATGCTATTATATGTTGGTAGCTATTAGTACCAGAATTGGAATTACTTTTAGAAGTCTTCTAACTCAGCCCCAATTTTATAGTTGTTGTTGTTGTTAAGTGCCATCGAGTTGGTTCCAACCCATAGCGACCCTGTACAGGATTTCCAAGGCTGTAAATCTTTACGGGAGCAGAAAGCCTCATCTTTCTCCTGCAGAGTGGCTGGTAGTTTTGAACTGCTGACCTTGTGGTTCACAGCCCGATTCATAACCACTACACTACCAGAGAGGAACCTAATAAGTCCCAGAGAGGAAAAGGGAGTTGGATTAGGTCACCAGCCAGGAATTGCTATAGCTGTGATGGAAACCCAGTATTCTGACTCCCAGCCCAGGGACTTTTCCATATATGTCAGTGACACTCACCTCTTTGATTAAATGCACCATGTGGGGGTTTCAGTGTGTGTGACAGGAGTGGGGGTTGGAGGGGTGGTTGGGAATGGTGCTGGCAGCTACTTAGTATAATTTAGCCTTGAAAAAAAAGACCATTTTAGGGGCTGAAAAATGCAGAGTGAAAATGTATTGCATGAAGAGACGGCTCAGGTTGCATTGTCTGCTCGCCATATAATTTCTCCATACATTTTCTTGAGCACCTGCTGCAGCTGGATTTGAGATCCCTGGTCTGGATAAAATCAGTGATCCTTCTGCTCTGACTACTCCAGGGTTCATCTCATGACTCCTTGCTTGTATTATGTTTAGGTTTCTCCTAACCCTCCTCTCTTCCTACACTGGGATGTTTCTACAGGTTCTGCCTCTGGAGAACAATATGAAGGATTCCCGGCACTTTCCAGCCATCTTGTCTTTGGGAATGTCCATCATCACTTCCCTGTACATAGTCATTGGAGCTCTGGGGTACCTGAAATTTGGAGATAACATCAAGGCCAGCATCACCCTCAACCTGCCCAACTGCTGGTACCTACACAGACTCTCAGGTGGAGGGATTCTGGGCTTAGTGAGTGCACGTAGGGCTCTTCTTCCTCCCTGCCATAGATGGGAAGCTGAGGTCTAGAAAGCCTCCACAGATTCTTCCTCTGACAACAGTATCCCAAGTTGAGTTAGGACTGGGTGTGTTGGTGCGGAGACGGGTGTGATTTGACAAGAGAGGGAAGAAGTGAGCATCCTTAGTTAAGGAAAGAGAAAAGGGAAGGGCACTGGGGAAGGGCAAGAAGCAGAGACTAGGGGGTGACAATGCTTCCAACTACATGAAATAAGGCTGTGTCACCCAGTCTTTCTTGTCACATCCCCTGAGTTAGAGTAGCTAAAATGAGACAAAGGATAGCAAAAACAATCTAAGAAGATCATTGTAATCTGTAAGAGTTCTATGCTCAAATGCACCCAATTTATACAATAAGTAGCGCATACTTCAACTGTGCAATATTCAAATAGACATAAGTTTACTGTGGAGCCTTCTCCCTTACCCTGGGAGAGTGTGCCTCTGTCTTCTCGTAGCGACAGTCACTTAGAGGCCTAATTTGCCTAAATGTAGCCCCTTAACCAATTTAAAAATTGTCATCCATCATGCATTTGTTGTTATTGTTAAGTGCCATTGAGTCAATTCCAACTCATGTTGTTGTTGTTGTTAAGTGCCGTCGAGTCGGTTCCGACCCATAACGACCCTGCACAGGGTTTCCGAGGGTGTAAATCTTTACAGGAGTAGAAAGCCTCATCTTTCTCCCGCGGAGCAGCTGGTAGTTTCAAACCGCTGACATTAACTCATAGTGACCCAATTATATGCAGTGGGTATTCTACACACACAGAGTGTGGAGGGAGGCTATACTTTGGAGTTTCACTGGCTTGTGATCCAGTAGGAGTTGGGGAGTGGTAGATAGCATGTGTACAAAAAAATCCAAACAAGCCAGTCGCTATAGAACCAATTCAAATCCTGGTGACCCCATGTATGTTAGACTAGGACTATGCTCGATAGGGTTGTCAGTGGCTGGTTTTTCAGAAGGAGATGATCAGTCTTTACTTCTGAGGCACCTTTGGATGGAAGAAAACCACCAACCTTTATGTTAGAAACTGAGCATTTGCACAACACAGGGACTCAGCAGATATAGACCAACTATAATATAGAACTGAAACAGAAGTCCACAAGAGGTAAAGGGCCTTGGGGATTTCTCAGGAAAGAAAGTCTATCCAATAAGACAATGAGGAGAAATTATAGATGAAAAAGGAGTCCTTGGGTGGAACTAAAAGAGAAAGCTCTTATCTTAATAGGTCACAAAAGGCTTTGGCAAAGCTCAACATCCCCCAAACCTCACAGCTTGAGGTCGGTGAACAACTCTCTGTCTCTCATTTTACCCTCACCTCCCTGCACACCCTATTTATAGACAGACTCTTTTCCCAAAGTATTTCAGATTCTTCAGTTCTATTAACAACTGTATCAACTGTCAGTTTAACCTACTGTGGTGGCCTACCTGTTGCTGTGATTCTGGAAGCTATGCCATCTGTATATTAAATACCAACCAGGTCACCCATGGCAGACAGGTTTCAACTGAGCTTGCAGACTAGGAAGAAGGAGAGGCAGACTGCTTCTGAATATTTAGTCACTGGAAACCACTGTCAGATAGCACCTGCACATTGAATATTGATTAAAATATAATGAAGAACATAAGAATATTGTCAGGTATAGTTCCAGAAGATGAAACCCCCCAGGTTAGAAGACACTCAAAATACAACTGGAGAAGAGCTGCCCTTCAAAACAGAGTTGACCGTGATGATGCAAATGGAGTAAAGCTTTCGGGACCTTCATTTGCTGATGGGGCACAACTCAAAATAAGGAGAAACAGTTGTAAACATCCATTAATAGTTGAATCATGTAATGTAATGAAGTATGACTCTAACAAAATTAGAAGTTGTTTAAAAATGAAAAGGAATGTGTAATGATTGATATCCTAGGCATTAATGAATTGAAATGGACTAGTATTGGCCATTTTGAATTGGACAATTACATGATTTACAGCTATTGAAGAGGAATCAAAAGAATGTTTCAAGATCTGTCTTGAAGTATAAAGTTGTCTGTGATAAGGTAATGTCCATAAACCTACAAGGAAGACCAGGAGTCCTGGTATGGCGCTGTGGGTTAATGTGCTCCACTGCAAAGTCATTTGAAGAGCAAGGTTGGTGGTTCAAGCTCACCAGCCCCTCCTTGGAAATCCTATACGGGGTTGTTATGGGTCAGAACCGACTCAATAGCGCTAGCAACAATAACAAGAAAGGCCATTTAATACCACTATTATTTAAATTTACACACCAACAACTAAAGTCAGTGATGATGAAATTCAAGAATTCTACCAACTTCTTCAGTCTGAAATTAATTTTTAAAAAGTAATCAAGATGTATTATTAACTACTAGCCTTTGGAATACAAAGGTCAGAAACAAGGGATTAAGGCTAAGTAGTTGGAAAACATGATCTTGGGGATAGAAATGATGCTGGAGATTATATGATAAAATTTTGTAAGACCAATGATATATTCAAACAACTTTTTAAACAACACGAAAGGTGATTATATACATGGACCTCACCCAATGACACACACAGAAATCAAATTGACAACATCTGTGGGGAAAGACACCAAAACCAGGGCAGGGCAGACTCTGGAACAGACCATCAGTTATTCATATGTAAGTTCAGGCTGAAGCTGAAGAAATTAAAACAAGTCTGAAATTTGATCTTGAATTTAGAGACCATCTCAAAAACAGATTTCTTGCATTAGACATTAATGGAAGAAGACTAGAAGATTTGTGGGATGACATCAAGAACATCATACAGGAAGAAAGCAAAAGGTCATTACGAAGACAAGAAAAAAGGAAAAGGCCAAAATGGATGTCAGAAGAGACTCTGAAACTTGCTCTTCAGCATAGAGATGCTAATGCAAATGAAAGAAGTGAGGAGGTACAAGAGCTAAACAGAAATGTTCAAAGGGAAGCTTGAGAAGAACAAGTCAAGAATAAATAATGAAATGTGAAAAGACCTGGAGTTAGGAAACCAAAAGGGAAGAACATGCTCAGCATTTCTCAGTTTGAAAGAACTGAAGAAAACATTCAAGCCTCAACTTGCACTATTGAAGAAATTTGTGGGCAAAATATCAAATGATTCAGAAAGCATCAAAATAAGATGGAAGGAACACACAGATTCACTGTACCAAAAAGAGATGGACAATTGACTCCTCTTCATCTGACTTCTGGATCGTGACAAGTGAGCCAGCCTGCCATCTGATCTGCAGATTTGGGGTAGGCCTGTCCCTGCAGATAGTCAGGAGAAGCCTCTAGCCTGAAGTCTGACCCACACATTTGAGACTTGCCAGCCTGCACAACTTGAAGCCTGCCTAAGATGTATCTTTTTTTAACAAGAGAGCCTGTGGGAAATCCAGGTGACTGACCTAGGAGTTAAGGAGCCAAGACTTCAGAGGCCACTGACCTTGCTGAAAAGACACTCTGGAACAAAATGATTCAGTATGGCCTTGCTTCTGCACCACAGTGGGCACCTGGGCACAGTGATCACCTGCAGCTGCCTTTGAAAACCACAGAGCACACCCACCACAAGAGATAGCTCAATATGAAGTAAGTCATGGTCCTCCATATAACTATGTACCTCTTCCAAGCTACAAGAGATTCCTGGCATCTCTTCTCTGGCTCCTCAGTTATATAGGTAATGAATGGTATGTCGAAGGGGGACCATATGCTGGAACCATAGGGCACCTTTCTGGTTGGAATGGGTCTTCCTAGAGCCAGCAGAGCATTAGTGGCCTCTTCCAGTCCCAGGAAATCTCTCCCTTTGGAAATAGACCACATAATGAGAAGAGGAAAGAAAAAAGAGAAGGCAAGGTGGCATGAAAGCAGTTGGATAAGAAAGCCCTTCGAGTAGAAAAGCCTCACCACCGACCTCTCAGGACCTCTTCTAAGTCATGGAGAAAACTATATGGTGCCAAGCAACCCTGCAAGATATTCCCAAGGAAGCTGCTGACACTGCTTCCTCATCACCCAGATCTGGACACACAAATGGGAATCAGACATCAGTTGAGGCACTGTGTGTCCAGAAGAAACTCCACCCTAAGCCAGGTCCCACTCCCAAGTCTCAAGCTTGGAGAACAAGCATGATGAATCCCCGACTGTCCTCCCACCCCACTAGCCACAGGTCTGCTATCTCCCATCCCATCTTAGTAACCAAACTGGGGGTGCCATGTGATGGCCACGCTCTAAGCTCTGCCAGTGAGTGTCCCTTCAGTGCCAGCTCCTCTAGTTTGACCATTCTGACCCTCCCAGCTGTACTGAGGAATCTGTGGACTGACCAGAATGGACATGTGTCAGAGAGCAGGGTCAGTGAAAGCCTGGTCAGTTTGGAGAAAAGTGAATCAGTAAATAGTGGACAGGGCATTGGTCTCCACAAGGGTCCCACTCTCCCTGCTGGTGAGAAAAAAGAGGGTTTCTTGTGTTTTCTGGAAGCTGCGTGCCAGCTATTGAAAGCAATGGGATGGCAGGAATCTCCAGCAAACGATGTAGACTGAGGATGGTATCAGAGAGTTCCACGTCAAGATGGAGCAGCTGAGAAGCAAGGGTTTTGTGAACCACCCACCAGGCCAGCCAGCTCTCTGCCTGGAGAAGTGGGCTTGCAGCAGGACTTGAGGATAAGAAGGCAGATGCTGACAGGGTGATACCTCTCATGAGGACTCCTGGATGTAGGACCAGAAATGCTCATGGAGACCTCAGACCCAGGGACCTCGGAGCAGGGACTGGGTAATTAGGGAATGGCTGCAAGAAACCCCACTTTTCCTTGTGTGGCATTGCTATGAACCAAATACTCATTGTATGAAGGGCAGTGAGTTGGTTTCCTCATCTTCTGTTGCTGTACTTCATTCTTGCTATGCACTTCAAAAACAGACCTTTGTGTACTGGGAGATTTTTAAATACCTATAGTCCTGAGCAAATAATCCAAGAAGCTGGGTTATATGAAGAAAAATGTAGCATCAGGATTGGAGGAAGAATCATTAATAACCTGAGATATGCAGATGATACAACCTTGCTTGCTGAAAGTGAAGAGGACTTAAAATATTTACTGATGAAGATCCAAGAGCACAGCCTTCAGTATGGATTACATCTCAATGTAAAGAAAACAAAAATCCTCACCACTGGACCAATAAACAACCTTCTTATCAACGGAGAAAAGATTGAAGTTGTCAAGGACTTCATTCTTCTTGGATCAACTATCAACACTCATGGAAGCAGTAGTCAAGAAATCAAATGATGTATTGCATTAGGCAAATCTGCTGCAAAAGACCTTTGTAAAGTGTTGAAGGGCAAAGATGTCAGCTTGAGGACTAAGGTACACCTGACCCAAGCCATGGTATTTTCAACAACTCCATATGCATGCAAAAGCTGGACAGTGAATAAGGAAGACTGTAGAAGAATTGATGCTTTTGAGTTATGGTGTTGGAGGAGAATATTGAAAGTGCCATGGGCTGCCAAAAGAACCAATAGATCCGTTTTGGAAGAAGTGCATCCAGAGTGCTCCTTGGAGGCCAGGATGGCCAAACTTCAACTCTCATACTTCAGACATATTGTCAGGAGGGACATCACTGGAGAATATCATGTTTGGTGAGGTGGAGGGTCACAGAAAAAGAGGAAGACCCCCAGCAACATGGATTGGCAGAGTGGCAGCATCGATGGGCAAAAGCATGGCAACAATTGTGAGGTTGGCCCAGGATCAGGCAGTGTTTCGTTCTGCTGTGCATAGGGTTGCTATGAGTCGGTTCTGACTCGATGGCATCTAGCAACAACAACAACATATAGTCCTGGGGTGGCACTGTGCACTAATGTGCTGGACTGCAAAATAAATTTGAATCACAGGTTGGTGGTACAAGTTCACCAGCCACTCCTTGAAAACTCTATACAGGGTCACTATGGGTCAGAACTGACTTGATGGCACTCAACAACAACAACAACATATTACAAATAAGAGTCCTGGTGTGGTGCTGCAGGATAAAACACGGAACCGCAAGGTCGATTTGAATCACAAAATCAGCAGTTCAAACTCACCAGCAGCTCCTGGAAAAACCCTATGAGTCAGAACCGACTTGACAACACTTAACAACAACAACAACATATTACATATGAGTATATGCACACTGTGTATATAGGATGCAAAGACAGAAGTGGGCAGTGGAAAGACATGATATTGGACTGCAGCAACATTTTTCACTACCAGCCCTTGGGGTGAATCAAAGCAATCGTTGTCAAAGCTAAAGTGAATACCAAACTCATAATTTTATTAAATGAATGTTAATAATGTAGGTTTACTGGAGTCCTGCTGTGGTGCTGTAGGATAAACACTGATCCATTTGAATTTTAAGATCGGCGGTTCAAACTCACCAGCCACTCCTTGGAAACCTTATGCAGCGTCACTATGAGTTGGAACTGACTCAACAGCGCTTAACAACAATAACAATTCAGCAGTGTGTCTCCCCAGCAAGGCACCTGATTTGAGGCTCTTTTATCTAAAGGCTAATATTGAACATTAAATGTTAGTGGTTTTTGAAGATGCTTTGTTGTTGTTGTTTAGTGCCATTGAGTCAGTTCAGACCCATAGCGACCCTGTATAGGGTTTTAGAGGAGCGGTTGGTGAGTTAGAACCTCCAACCTTGCAATTCAAACTGACATTGCGGTCCAGTGCATTATTCTGCAGCGCCACACCAGGACTCTTTTGAAGATGCTAGACATATCCATTCAAGGCCAACCCAGGTGTTATAGTGTAGAACAGCTCCATAGAGGTTTCTTAACTACAATCGTTAAGGAAGCAGATCACCAAGCCTCTCTTCCAGGGAGCAGTTAGAGAGGTTCTAACTGACTCCTTTAGATTAGTAGTAGAGTGAGTAATTAAGTGCAAACTGTTTGCACCACCCAGGGACCTATAGGGTTCATATGCAGTCATCATGTGTCAGGGTTGTTGTCTCTGTGGTTTGTTCTTTGTGGGTTGTTGTTTTCTGTTTTTTCCTGTTATACATATTCACAAGCAAGATTCTTCTAATTTTCAATAGAGATGACCCTTCAACTGTTTCCAATTGAATTTACTCTGTTTTCATTCTCTGTGCTAGTGTGATTTCCTGACCTGCTAGTGTAGTGGCTTACACATTGGGCTGCTAACCACAAGGTCAGCAGTTTGAATGTACCAATTGCTCTGCAGGGGGAAAATGAGGCTTTTTGTTTCTGTAAAGATTTACAGCCTCTGAAAGCCTATACAGGGTCGCATTGAGTCACAACCAACTCAATGGCACATAGCAGCAGCAGCAGCAGACACAGATCACTCACCATCATTTTCACATAGCAAAACAGAGGTGTAAGGGATTGTCCCGAGGTCAGAGGTCAGGGTTGCAAGAAGGCCCTGCATCAGAGCACCGTGACCTTAGAACACATTGCTCTGTTTTGTCCTGCAGGTTGTACCAGTCAGTCAAGCTCCTCTATATTATTGGCATCCTGTGTACCTACTCTCTGCAGTTCTACGTTCCAGCAGGAATCATCATCCCTGTCATCCTCTCGCGGGTATCAAAGCGCTGGGCACTGGTCCTGGATTTGTTCATCCGCCTCACCATGGTCTGCCTGACATGTAAGTAGAAGCAGCTGAATCATCCATAGTGGACAGGTTTCACTGCAAAAACTTTTTCAAACAACATAAGAGGTGGACTCACCAGATGGAATCAAATTGACTATATCGGTGGGAAGAGGAAGCGGAGAAGTACCTTCCATGCGGGAAGTTCAATTCGCAGCCAGTGCAACTCATGTACAATAGTCACCCATCTGTCATCAGAGGCTTGTGTGTTGCTATGATGCTGAACAGGTTTCAGCAGAGCCCCCAAACTAAGATGGCCTAAGCAGAAATGCCTGGACATCTGGTTCTGAAAACCAGTCAATGAGAACGCTACAATCACAGCAGCTCAGTCCACCACTGATCCTGAGCATGACGCAGCATCCGCACAGTTCTGTTCCACTGTGCATAGGGTCACTGTGAGTCTAGGGTTGCCTCAATGGCAGACAGCAACAACATTGTAAATGAGGAAACTAAGGCAGGGAACAATTCAGTAACTGGCCAGGAAATGTCTGAGGTGGTATTTGAACCCAAGTCATCTAACTCCAGAGCCAGCACCATTTGCCTCTGTGACAGAAGTTAAAACTAGGTGGCCAGTGAGTTTGAATTGTCAACCAATGTGTTTTGCTCAACTCTCAAAATGTTTTGTTAATTTGGGGTACTGTTAAAAATGTGACCAATCTCACATACAAATCTGTATTTTTACCATTTCTTGGAAAAAAATCTAAGGGTTTGGAGAGCCTGATGCCGCCTTCCCCAATGGCAGTGCTTCCGCTGGAGCTCCTTGACCTCTGTGATCACCTTTGGCTTCAGCTGACCCCTCACTCCCTCTCACAACCCTCCTTCCGCCAGGCTCCAGGCCATGGACGGAAGCACCCCTTTCTGCAGGTAGATTGTGATTGTTGTTGATAGGTGTTTCCAACTCACAGCAATTATATGTGTAGCAGGTATCTTAGCAGAGGCAAACCCAAACCAACCAAACCAGCTGCCATTGAGTCAATTCTGACGCATTGTTGTTGTTAAGTGACACTGAGTCCGTTCTGACTCATAGCAGCTGTATGTAGCATTTCTGAGGAGCAGCTTATGGGCTTGAACCGCTGACCTGATGGCTCAAACTGACCTTCCGGTCCTGCACATTATTCTGTAATGGTATATAGGGTTTTCTGAGATTGTAAATCTTGATGAGAGCGGACAGTCTCATCTTTCTTCCATGGAGAAGCTGGTGGCTTTGAACCACTAACCTTGAGGTTAGCAGCAAAATGCCAAACCCAAAGCACCACCAGGGCTCCTTTGTCCTTAGATGCCATTGAGTCAGTATGTACTCACAGTGAACTTACGCAGAACAGAATGAAACGCTCCCTGGTTCTGCCCCAGCCTCACAATCGTTGCTATGCTTGAGCCCATTGCTGGGCTCCTTAGCAGAAGCCAAAGGAGATGATAAAAATTCTTGCATTAAGTATACAGCATGGGCCAGTTATCCCTAAAAAACTTTTTTTCCTCCTTAATTTTTAAATTTTATTTTGACGAAAGTATACACAGCCTGAAGATTAATACACTGGACTGCAAGTTCGGTTTGAACTTGTTTGAACTTGCTCAAGATGGCCAGCTGATCCTCAGAAACCCTACTCAGGGTTGTTTTGAGTCACAACCGACTCAACGGCACTTAACAACAACCATATACACAGTCAGAGATATATAATTGCTACAGGTTTAATTTAGTGACGTTAATTGCATTTTTCAAATTGTACTACCATTCTTTTCTATTCTTTTCCAAAGCACTCAACTGCAAAGTTGGTTTGAACCACAAGATTGGCAGTTCAAACTTACCAGCTGCACCTCAGAAACCCTTTACAGGGTTGCTATCGGTCAGAATGGACTTGACAGCACTTAATAACAACAAATTATCTTAAATTCACTGCATCCTAAGCATTCCCGTCCAACCTTCTGAGTTAACATTATCAATTTGATCTCACATAGATCGTTCTTCGGAGTCTGGGTGTGACACTGTTTGTAGGATAAGCACTGGACTGCAAGGTCAGTTTGAACTGCAAGGCTGGCAATTCAAACTCACCAGCTGCTCCTCAGAAACCCTATACAGGGCTGCTATGAGTCAGAACTGACTAGATGGTATTTAAAAACAACTTACCAAGATCATTCTTTAAAAGAGCACAGTGCTCAGAGCAGGTATAGTTTACTAACTGAGATAAACTAATTTGGGATTCAAAGAAGACTAGGAGATGTTTTTTATTTTAAGGTTAAAAGTCCCATATGAAATATTATATGGAACATCAACTTCAGCGATTCACCCAGCCTTAAATGCTTTAGAAATTGTAGATTCCATGGATAATTGAAAATTCTTTTCCATATTCTCCCCACTTTTGACCAAGATTCTTCCATAGAATCTGTGATCAAAATGTTCACTAATGGTGGCTAGGCATACTTCAGACATATTGTCAGGAGGGACCAGTCACTGGAGAAGGATATCATGTTTGGTAAGGTGAGGGTCAGAGGAAAAGAGGAAGACCCCCAACGAGATGGATTGGCCAAGTGGCAGCATCGATGGACTCAAGCGTGGCAACAGTAGTGAGGTTGGCCCAAGATTGGGCAGTGTTTCATTCTGCTGTGCATAAGGTCGCTATGAGTCAGTGCCGACTCGATGGCATCTAACAACAGCAACAT